AGTCTGGGTGGGTAAACTGTGGTGATCAACGCGGGGTTGGCCACACACCGAATCCGTTTCAACTTGCCAGCACCCACATCTATGGTCCACTCACACAGCACATCTGTCCCTTATGCGCATTGCTTGTGAATAGCCCCTTCCACCGGCATCCTGAACTCATCTTGTTCCCCATGATGACGCATTGTTCCCAATCAATCTGTATGAGAAAAGTATCATTCCTTTTTTCTTTGTTTCAACTTGCTATTTTTGAGTCTGTATGATCTCTTAGCACTTATTCTGGCACCACCAGAAATCCAGAACTCTACTCGAATCAAGGAGAGGGAGAGGGGTTAGTGGAATTTGTTTGTTTCATCTACTGTGCTAGGTATGAACATATGGATGCATGAATAGAAAGCAATATGTTGGATTTCCTGTTGAAACTTTCATATCTGATTCAGATGATTTGTGAACTGTTTTTTTTTATAGATTCAATTCATTTCACAACCTCATCTTGTCTCAAACGACAAACCCACGAAATAGATCGTATCTGAACGCAAACAAAAACCCCAAAATCCGATGAATGTGCAGCAGCGGTTTCGTGATTCGCATCGCTTATCAGGTACGCGTATGGCCCCGTGATCAGATATGAATTTCATCACAAATGCTACACTCAGAGCTGTGAGAGTTGATTTGAGGGTAGTAAACTATTCGGGTGGTTTCCATGATTTTCATTCGTATTCCTACATAAATGGACACTGCATGACTTCTATTTTAAATCAGGATCAACTAGAAAATACCCGATGCAAACCATTTTTCGACTAAGTCATGGTTGAATATCTGTTACACAGGGCAATCGTTGGTGACACAGTGAGAAATATTTACTGCAATCAATATTTCCCCATGTGTATCCAACGAAGAGGGAGGCGGGAAACGATGCAACGGAAGAATAACTGATGTGGAACAGTTAGCTGGTTGGAGACGAACACGCCTCACTGGTTTTCGGGAACAGTGACTGCAGAATCAGTTTTCGAAGCTCGTATCAAGATAAGCAATAAACAGGACCTATGAGATGCTATTTATTTACGAGATGCTCTCTATACCAACCAATGAAATACTATATACTATACTATTACATGAGATTACATAGATTTGAATGGAATGGAACACAAATGCCCCCGGTTGTGCCCGGGAAAGGCACCCCCAACTTACGGTCGACCATTCTGGCTCATCAAGCGCCGGAGTAATTCCAGGGTGCGACGAACGCCCATGTTCTGCAGTTCATCTCCATCCTCCACCATGTACACTTCGTAATCTGCTCCCGTCTCATCCTCGTCCTTGTAGCAACAACAACAGCAACAGGAAGACATTGTCCAATCGGGTCGATCTCGGAAATCTGACACCGAACGGAATTTCTGAACAGAAAAGCAAAGCAAAACAAAACAAAACAAAAAAAGCAATGAATAACCTAGTCACAAATTTGCAAAATCAAACCGGACCCCGTTGTCTGTGACGTGACGTAGAATGATCGAGGAAAGTATCAACCCTTGGTGGCCATTTGTCCCCCCGGCCCGGGGATAAAAAAAGGAAAACAAGCTGCAAACGCTGCTGAACAGTTCGAACTTGAGTGAACGTTATTCTCAGACCTCTCAGTCGACTATGAGGCGAATTCGAGCACAACGGAATGCACTGGCATCCGAACACACAACTACTTCACGGCACACGGCTTTGGACACAAACTGGAGAACTGATGAACCTAACAACACAATTAAAGTCCACGGCATGCATCAGATTACGCGGAACACACACACACACACGCACACACACAGTGGGATTGATGGCTTTCCCAGTTGGCTAGCAATTTCCACACCTTTCCCATTTCGAATCGGAAAAACCCTGCTCAACCTGATTTTCCATTTCTAATATGCAAGGAGAATACTGCCAGTAGTATACATTTACAAATTTTATGCACACTGTCATTCAATACTGCTGAGGAAACCATACAACTATGGAATTCAGGGACTTGTACTGGGCTGGATAGAAGAATTTATACAACAACGCACCAGGGTGGTTCGCATTTCTGGGTCACTTTCGGATCCCATCAGCATATCACGAGGAGTTCCAAAGGGATCCGTGCTTGGCCCCAAACTTTTCCCTGTTTTTATAAACGACCTAATGGACAGTCTGGGGCCACAAACGTTATTGTTTCCAGACGATGCAAAAATATGGAAAACGGGGACAAAACCAGAGGACTGGCTAGAACTTCAGAGAACACTTTAAGCTGCCTATTAGTGGTCTAACGGAAACGTCAGGGAATTTAATGCATCAAAATGTACGGTCGTATCCCTTCTCCATAAAACTCAGTTTCCGTATTTCCTCGGAGACCAGCAACTTCCATGTCTCGAATGAGAAGGATCTCGGTGTAATTGTCCAAGACGACCTAAGTTGTTCTTTAAACTGCTCACGGGCGTCGTCCAGCGCTGAAAGACATGTTGGTTTGCTAAAGCGAGTATTTGGTAAATTTGAACCTACGCCGTTTCCATGGTTATTATCAGCGTACGTTCGGCCCCACATGGAGTATGCAATTCAAGCGTGGAAGCCATGGCTGCTACGCAAATGGAACATTCTGAAACGTCCACAAATAATGGCCACCAAAATGGTCAATAGACCGAATTCAAACACTTATGTCGAAAGACTGGAATTATTAAGGTTACACTCCACACAGTATCGCCGCATTAGAGGAGGCTTGATCTTGGTGTATCAAATAATGCAGGACCCAGACCACCCATATCGTTAAACTCTTTGCTTTGTCACTCAACACTCTACTGAGGGGGCACTCATTCAAATTAGTGCTCCAAAAATGCCGATCAGACTGCCGGTGTTAGTCATTCGCCCTCAAAGTGTCCACTACTTGGAATTCTCTACCACCACACGTTGTTTCTGTGCCCACAATTGATTCCTTCAAGCACAAACTAGATGAAGCTTTGACAAGTCTTAAATTTCAACATCCATAGAGGTGCACGAAACAAAGTCAAATTGTGACATTCATCCACTTTCTATGAACCATGAATCGATTCACGTGTGCTAAACCCTATGGGACTAGAAAAGCAACCGCTTGTATTTTCCTCGATAAAATTTTGAATTTGAATTCGATATCATGATAGTCATCGGCAGGCGAGCAAGTACTGCGCTTGTCAGAGGGTTTCTATTGTTTGCTAAACATGTACGCATCATCAAAGCTGGAATATGTTT